CCACCCCCACCCCCAGCCTGGAGGATGCCCCTGGGGCCCCAGCCCCACCCCCACCCCCAGCCTGGAGGATGCCCCTGGGGCCCCAGCCCCACCCCTGGAGGCCGTCCCAGGCCCCAGAAGCTCACCTCCAGCTCCTGCTCCCTCTGGAGCGCAAACTGCTTGAAGGACTTGACAATGAGGCCGGCGTTGGAGCAGTCATAGACGAATATGGACGGACTGCCCATCCAGGTCTGCAGGTCATAGATGGACAGCGGGATGTACTGCGTGTAGTTCTGGAAAACCAAACGCAAGACACACGTGTCACTCCCACACCTCAAGACCTCTGCAGTCCACCTTCGGCCTACCACGAAGGCTGCCTTCAAAGTAAAGGAGTTTAAAACCTACAACCTCCCCCATAGAAACACATCATTAACCCATTACCAGTTCTGCTCACAGGAAGCTGCAATATGCAAGTTACCTGGAACGCTCAGTCAGTAAACCCCTTTTAGAACCCATCATACCTGCTTTTACAGGGCCGGCAAGCCCAACAGACGCTCCAGCCCCTGCTGGCAGGACACAGCAGCACCCCAAGCTCCAAGGACCTGCGGGATGCCCTCTGGCGTCCCAGCTGCTTCTGGCCCTCCTGAGCCCCCAGTCAGCGTCATTCAGAGCTGGACAGCGAGTGGCTGCTATCACTTAAAGTGCTGGGGGTGAGTTTTGGTGTTTTATTTGGAAGTTAGTCAAGAGAGCACTTCACACTCGCCTCCTAGTTTCTGAGACTGAATCGGCTCCTTTCCACTTACCAACAGACTTGAACAGTCCGTCTTTCCTTGTGGGGCTCTTCCTCTGTGGTCTGACAGGAACAGGAGTGCCAGCTCAATCCAAATGGTCGCCCATGAACGCAGCACCACTGCCACTGGCGACTGGGATTCACGGATTTTTTTTTTTTTTAATGCATTTTATTGAAATATAATTTATGTGCAGTGAAATACACAAAACTAAAGTGACATGGGTCAATGCATTTTGTTTTCTGCAGTGTTCCCCCCCACGCCTGGCAACCAACAAAGAAAGTTTCCCTCCATATATAAACCTTTCCTTGACTCCCCCACAGCAATATATTTGTTCTTTTGTGATTGACTTCTTTCACTCAGCATAATGTCCTCCAAGTTCATCCATACTATGCGGTGTTTTGCAGACTCTACATTATTCTTTAGTGTTGCATAGCATTCCATTATGGCTATGTACCATGGTTTGGTCATCCACTCTTCTGCTGACGGGCACGTAGGTTGTTTCCATCTTTTTGCTGTTATAAATAGTGTCGCGATGAACATGCGCATGCATGTATCTGTCCTTGTCCTGGCTCTCACCTCTCCAGGATATATACCTAGTAATGGGATTGCTGGGTCAAATGGTGTCTCCAATTCCCCTTTCTAAGGAATCGCCATGTTGCTTTCCACAGTGGTTGTGTCACTGCACAGTCATGCCACCAGTGTATGCGAGTCCCAATCTCTCCACATCCTCGCCAGCATTTGCTATTTTCTGTCTTGTTGAACCTTGCCATCAGTGCTGGGCTGAGACGGTATCTCACTGTTGTTGTGATTTGCATCTCTCTGATGGCCTGTGATTGTGAGCATCTCTTCATGTATTAGCTGCCCACCTGAATATCCTCCTTGGTGAAGTGTCTATTCATGTCTTCTGCCTATTTTTCAATTGGATTGTTAATTCCTTTGGTGTTGAGGCACTGGAGTTTTCTATAAATCTTAAGAGATAAGTCCCTTGCCAGATTTATAATTATCAACAAGTATGAATTTGTTGCTGTCATTTCACATTCTTAAACCACATGTCTGCACCCGCGCACAAGGGCGTGTCACCAAACTATGTAACTTGGTCCCTCCAGTGCCAAAGACTGGAGAGAATATAATGTCCACACACCTGACAGGGCAGCTCATGTCACAATGGGAACTCTGTCCCGGAATGCACGCTGCTGGGCCAGGGTGGTTTGAAGGTAAGAAAATTGACTGCTGTCAAGCTGATTTGACTCATAGTGACCCCTCTGGTGGCACAGTGCCTAAAGTATTTGACTGCTAACCAGAAGAACGCTGGCAGTTCAAACCCACGAGCCAGTCCTCAGAAGGAAGGTTGGGCAATCTACTTTCATAGAGATCCAAAAAAAATAAAATCCAAACTCACTGCTATGGAGTCAGATCCAACTCATAGCGACCCTCCTTGGGTTTCCGAGGCGGTATTTCTACAGAAGTAGATTGCCCAATCTTCCTTCTGAGGAGTGGCTGGTGGATTTGAACTGCCAGCCCTGTGGTTAGCAGTCAAATGACTTAGGCACTATGCCCACCAGAGCTCTTTCCTGTTTAACAATCTGTGAGCGCGTATCTGAAAGACAGAGATCTGTAAGCATGTACTTCAGTGACACAAATGTGTAAGCGTGTCCTTCAGTGACATGAATTAGTCTGTTGAGTCCCCAGTTGGTGTAAACTGTGAACGTGCCCAGCTGCCAATAAAAGGTTGGAGGTTCGTGTCCACCAGAGGGGTCCTGGGAGAAAGGCCAGACGGTCTGCTTCTAAAAATGAGCCCTCGAACCAACGTCCACGGGGCACGGTCCCCTCCCACACCCAGGACGTCCCACAGGGTGTGGTCCCCCCACACTGGGGACATTCCATGACACACCGTCCCCCTCCCACACCCGGAACATCCTACAGGGCACAGCCTCTCCCACACCCGGGATGTCCCATGGAGCACCGTCCCCCTCCCTGACACACCAGGACATCCCACAGGGCATGGTCCCCTCCCACACCCGGGACGTCCCACAGGGCACGGTCCCCTCCCACAACTGGGATGTCCCACGGAGCATGGTCCCCTCCCACACCC